TTTTAATGACAATCATTTTTCCTTCAAATATGGGAACCCGAAAAGGCGCGCGGCCATAACGGCGCAAAGCCACAACTTGCTGGAATATTTCTGTCATTATCATTTTTGGCATCAATCCCTTTAGCTCGATGAAAAGAATCGTTTAATATTAATTTTGGTAAGCTTTAAAAATCTTGAAACAAGTTATGGCTTTGCGCCGTTATGGCCGCGCGCCCTTTTGGGCCACTGTCTTATCTCGTTTATTCTTTTGTTAGTACTACAGTAAATTTAGAACCTAACATATTTTTTATTTTTAAAATCATTTTTTAAATAGTTTTTAGCGCTTTATCTAAATTTTCTTCAAAAAATGTTTTATTCTTTACCAACAGAAACAAAATTTGATATTTTTAAATGTCTTAGCTATCAAAAATTATATTCAATCAAACAGACAAATTTTTATTTTTATGATTTTATTAATAAATATGAGGGAGAACTTGCTCGAGAGAAATTATCTAGAATCTCAGTGTGTGTTGTTCAGCACTTCCTTTCGTTTTTTGTCTACGACTACCAAACAATGAATATATCACAGAGCTTGTAGGCTGGTTTCGAATGACATTATAATTATTACGCAGAAGCAAGAGACGTTTGTGACTAAGGTTGGCGTATAGTTGGAAATTTTCGGATATCCGGATTCGAATCGAAAATTTCCAGATATCCGGCCTTTTTTCGGATCCGGATTCCGGATCCGTACTTTATTCTGTATCATAACATTGTCGCTTGTTATTAACTCGCGTTGATTTTGTCCTTTGACTCAGCTCATTGAGATCTTCCGAATTCCATATATTTCAAATATTTTTGTTTGGTAGTCATATTCTAAAAAATTTTCCAGAACTTCTAAATTTAAGTAATTTAATTTCAAAAAAATATTTAAAGGATCATTTCCGTCAATCCAAAGAAGTTGAGTCAAAATTAATTAGACCAGAAGCTGAAAATTTTGACTTCGCCTTATTTGATGAGCAACATAAAGAATTTAATGAACAAATTGAAAAGAAAGTTAAATTAAATCGAAAATTTAAAAAATTTCTTTTCTTTTTTAGTGGAGTAATGGACTACAAAAACCTATTCCTTTGTATTTGCCTGATCAAGGATTAGACTCCAAAATGGCCATTTGCTTAGATACCAGTAAATTTTTTCGATTTTTAAATTTAAATTCTTTTTTCCCTTCATTTAATTTCCCTCTTCGGCAAATATCAAAAATACAAACCATCCTCATGTAAATTCTGTTCTTTTGAAAGTTTTCTTTGGTGGGTAAAATAAACTGGGAGAAGGAAAAAGGTATCTCTGTCCACAGGGTAAGAGAGTTGGCGTTTTGGCGCGCCAAAAACTGAAAATCACGCCAAACGCCAGCACGCCAAAATCGGCCAAAAATCACGCCAAAACGCCAAAACGTCACGCCAAAACGCCATGACGCACATCCCTGGTGGCTTATATGTACATATTAAAATATTTACAGTATTTTTTTAACTCCAAAAAAATTTCTAACCAAACAATTTCTTTAGCATGCAACTATAAAACACGTCAAATTCTTCTAGAACTGCCTACCATTATTACAAACAAAAATCGGATATAGTGTAGTGTACCGGTGGTAAAAGTTCGGGACGTGACATATGTCATTCGATTCGTCTCGACGAGCTGAGTCGAACGGTACCACTCCTTACTTTAGGAAATAATTCTGGACCGAGTTATAGGTCCCGAAAAATCGAAAAACCAAAGGGGGGACCAAGCACATTTTTGGGGTGAAAAATTCGAAAATGCAAATTATACCTCATTCGAAAGAGCTCGTCGAGCTGAGTCGAATGACACCAAAATCAGCTTGATTGAACAAGTTTGATTCGAGATATAGGGCTCGAAATGGTCAAAAACCATAGAGGGGATTTTATGGTCAAAAATTCGATTCCACAAATGTTAGCTCATTCGAAAGAGCTCGACAAGCTGAGTCGAATGACATCAAATCACCGTGATTGGACAAGATTAGACAAAGTTATGACACAAAAAACAAAAAACCTAAACCTATGGGGCGTCGGCGAGGCGCTTGTGCAAAACCCCGCGCTTCGCGCGGGGTTTTGCGGCACGCGCCTCGCGGGGAGTCTACGGGCGGTGGGTCTGGGCTCGTAACATAAACCTATTCCTATCTCCCTTGCTCTAGACGTATTTGGGGCCTCCGTAGCAGCAAAAATCTCCACAAATGACATAGGTAAGGAGCTAAAACAAACGGTCATAACTTTGTCAAATCAAGTCGGATTTTGTTGATTTTGGTGTCATTCGACTCAGCTCGACGAGCTCTTTCGAATGAGGTATAATTTGCATTTTCGAATTTTTCACCCCAAAAATGTGCTTGGTCCCCCCTTTGGTTTTTCGATTTTTCGGGACCTATAACTCGGTCCAGAATTATTTCCTAAAGTAGGGAGTGGTACCGTTCGACTCAGCTCGTCGAGACGAATCGAATGGCATATGTCACGTCCCGAACTTTTACCACCGGTACACTACACTACAGCCCAAAAATCAAATGAAAATTGTTTATTATTATTTGGATAGATTATTTAATTGTTCTTTTGATTTTGGTCATTTTGATCAATTTATATTCAATCCAGAATTAATTCAATTATTATTTGGAAGAATTCCTAAACAAATTTATCTTTGGACTACGTTTCTAATGCCTTCTAAGGCTTACAATAGCGAAAATTTCTTTAAATTTTTTGTGAATAATTTAATCGGCCTTTCTCTTAGAATCGATCTATATCGAGTAAATGCCGAAGAATATATAGAAGTTTTACTAAAAATTTTAATGAAAGAGGGAGACAAGTTTGGATCAGTCTATTTATCTTGTAATAAAATGCCAAAACTTTTTGAATCTATTATAAATGCAAGTTTTTTTTGTTAATTGGTCAAGTTCTTCTAAAAATTCTGCATCAAATTCTTTAGTTATAGGAGAACCCCGCCCACTTCGAATGGGCTATTATTCGAATTTTTCACCCCAAAATCAGCTTGGTCAGTTTGGCCACCTTTCCCCAATTTTCTCTGATTATTTCATAAATTCTGTATATCTATATACCCCCAAAGTTAAATAACTCTTGATGTTAGATATGTAGGGCCTCTTGATAGAGCTGTAGAGCTCCTCCAACCCCCCCCCCCCCCCAACTCATACAAACTTAGTATATCTATCTCTGCTTACCCAAGATGCCCTTTTTACGTCCAAAATATTTACATAAATCCGAGGTTTGGCTGTGTTTCAGGGCTCAAAATAAATATTTTTAGTTAATTTAACATAAATATTTATATTTTAGTATAACGAAACGTCAAAAGATTGCTCAGAAATAGTGAATTGTTTTGAATTAAATTATCTTGATACTTTTACTTATCCAAATCAAACTAAATACCAACTTTCCAACAAACATAATCCAAAAATTGAATTTTTTATTTTCCTTAGGATGGTCAGTTACGAAACTAAGAAGAATATACTTCAAATTAGTCGAAATTAAATCATTTGTTGATAAACTTATTTATGTTACTTTACGGCAATGGACTGTATCTGCCCTGATTTTTACGTTTCCCGACATTCCTGGCTCTAATAGGTTTTTATCAGACGAATTCAAAATCTAAAAACCAATTTCTGGGCAGATACAAAAGATTCATTTTAATGTATTTATATCTCGTTTAATTTGACTTTTTGATAAACAATTAATTTTATTTTTTCTTTTTTCAAAAATTTGTTGAATTTTTGGATGGACTAGATTGAACTGGCTAATAAAGTGCCCATCATCTTTTGTTAGGCACAGAGTTAGCAATTTTTTGTAAAATTTTTCTCATTTTAAATAATAAATTTCGGCACTTTAGGAGTGATGGTTTTTCTTGCAGACTTTTCCCTAATATGTATCTCCATTTCCTTGGTTGCGGGGCGACTCGACCAAAGACTGTCCAGAGAAAAAAATCTGTATTTTCACATTTATAAAAAATAGAGTTTGGTGGATTCTAGACCAAGTTGCTTACAGGGATATCGAGGAATTTGGGTGGGTTAAAAGTTATCTCAGGGTATGCGGAGATTAAAAGGAATATATAGGGATGTCAACGTGATGTCGAGGTATCAAGAGGCCTTTAAGAGGATATCGGTGGACTCCGAGATATTGAGGGGTAGTTCCGTGATTTGTTAAGACCGTGTCTTGTCTGATCCGTGAGTTAGCCTGATACGATTTTCATTTGGCATTGAATTAGAGTATTACAAATTACTCAAAAAGAATTAGAGAGAAATACATATGGAAAAGTCTGGAAGAGCTTCGACAAATTTTGGAAGAAATAAAAAAATATTTTTATCACAAAGCCAAATTAAACATAATATGCATACATAAAATAAATTTGCTAAATATTTTTTATAAACACCCAGAAATACATTTTTGGATTATAAACTGAAAAAGAATTTGTCAAAGAAAAAAATAAAAAAAATCTGGGCGGATTTTATCATTTACCACAACGTAATAAAATAAATTATCAAATAAATTTAACAATAAATTTGTTTAATCGTTAATCCTTTCAAACGTTCTTTATATGAAATGGAGTATTTAATTTTTGGATTAAATTTATTGGAAAGTCGGTATTTTGTTGTTGTTAAATCCTCAATGTTTTCAGCTCTCTCATTTAAACTAGTCAAATTAATACGAGTATTATTTAATTCAATAGTAGCCACCATTTTTGAGCTTATTGTAGACGCTTCTATGTGCTAAAATTAGAAAAAAATTGTTAAATTAAAATATGTGATTTGGGTCCTTCAAAATTATTTTTTAAGAAATTTTAGCAGTCAAAAATTTGAGATTAATTCACAGAGTTGGGTCGGAATTCCTCCTAAGTTTTTTCCTTCCGATTTCCTAAAAAATTTTGATTTCCGACACCTCTAACTGTTCCGACCCATCTCTGCTTCACATAAAGAATAGGGCTAGTTTGTATTTAAAATATTAAATCCGTCTAAACTCTTACGGAGAAAAACTTACATTTATAATAATATCAAAAAGTGTTTGCAAATTATTTGAATTTAAATGAACTTCATTAAATTTGTCTCCATTCATTAAAATTTCAAATAAAATATCCGTATAATTTGTCATGTCCTTATTTGGAGGAAAAGTAATTGTAAGAGTCCCACTAACACACAAATAATTCAAAGCAAATTTTAATTTATTTTCACTAAAGTTTTCCATAAACAGCCAGCATTTTTGAATATAAAATTGTTTGGAAGAATTTTCAAATAATAATTGAATTAATTCTGGATTGAATATATAGTTTTCCATAGAGACATGTTCAAAAGAACAATTAAATAATTTATTTAAATAATAATAAACAATTTTGATGTCTTCTTTACTTTTAATGATTGTTGGCAGTTGTAGTAGAAGATAAAGGTTTCGACCGTTGTAATCTAAAATATTTTAAAGTTAAATGCAAGCTTTACAAAACATCTATGGTAACTATTAAACACTAACTGATGAAAGTAAGTTAGGCGGGATCGGGATCGGACCCGGTTTTTTAATCCCGATTTTTCTTATCCTGAGATCGAAAGACAAATCCCGATCCCGCAGTCGGGATCGGAATCATCATTCCAAAATCCCGATTTTACGTCGGGATCCCGATCCAGCCCAACTCTAGATAAAAGTATTAAACAACCAAAGAAAAAGGTAAAGCTAGCCTAACACAATTTACAACTTCTTTCATTCAAACAAAATTTAACCTCCTTTAAATAACCAAATAAGAACATTTTTGTTTGAACTGAGATTAGGTAAATACAAAGGAATCGGTTCTTCTAATCCATTTTTCCACTAAAAATAAAAGAAATTTTGACTTTTAAATATTTTAATTACCCTCTTTTCAAGTTGTTCATTCAGAGGAAAGTTGAAATTTTCAGCCTTGGGTTTAATTAATTTACGAGAATATTCTCTAAGAAAATATTCTCGATGAAAATAATCCTTAAATTTTTTAAAAATATAATTTATTAATCAAAAAACGTTACAATTGAAATTTCGTAAAATTTCTCCAAAGCAAGGTCTCCTTCAAATTCATAAATAAAATCCCGAAGATATAAATTTGTTCGTTTGATTGAACATAAATCCGCATAGCTGAGGAATTTAAAAATATCAATCTTCGTTTCTGTAGGCAAAGAATAAAGCATTTATGAAGAAAATTTGAATAAAGCACTTAAAATTAAATTTAAAAAATGATCTAAAATTTTAGTTTGTTAGGTACTAAACTCCAGTCCTAGTAAATACCAGACCTGCTCATGGATACGGATTTTGCTATCTGTATCCGGATATATCCGTGAGGTCAATATCCGTATCCGTTTGTATCCGTCCAATTTTTTAAGCACCGCAGGCTAGAATATTGAGATGGATTTCCGCGGATTTGAAGCATCATATCCGTGGGTATCCTGATATTATCCGTATCCGTGAGCAGGTCTGGTAAATCCTAACAAAAGTATAGACGACATAAGACATTAACTTATGCTTAAATACTACAATAAAAATAAAAAATTAGCAGAGTTGGAGACAAAACAGAATGATTAAAGAGTAACACTTCACTAACACTGAGGCCCTGGCTTTTATACTAAAACCACTACAAAACATAATCTTCATTTTAAAGTACATACGGCCAAAGAAATGTTCTTAAAAGAGTTTATTATCCTATTTTCCGAATGTGAGTGGTTCAAGTATAAAGGCGGGCATTAGAGATCACCATGATTAGAGATTCATAGAGATCAGTAGATGAACTAATAAGGAAAATTAACCAATTTATGAAAGGAAAAAAGTAAAGAAAAAAACGATTCAGCCGTTATTTTTTTATATACTGCCATACTTCTATATAGACTGTCTGAAAAAGGAAAATTAGATATTTGTAATTTGATAAAATTTCAACAAAATTCAGTGCAAAAAATTAAAAAATATTTTTGAACAAAATGTTTAATAAAAAAATTTTTAAATGATCTATCAATAAATTTTTTTAATTTCAATTATATCTTCACGTCCTCGAATATATAAAATAGAAAATTTAATTTTTGGATTATATTTGTTGAAAAGAAGGTATTCCGATTTTATTAAACGTCCGTCTTCACGTTCCTCTCCAATCTTTTCAGCTCTTGTAAGTAAACTAGCTATATCAAAATAAATATTATCTAATTTGATATAATCAACAATTTTTGAACAATCTTTTGACGTTTCAATGTGCTAAATTACAAGGAAAAAAATTAAAATATTGTGCACAGTCAAAGTTGCCTATTCAGACAAATTATATGCCATTCGAAGGAATTTTTCAGACTTTAGAATTAAATAATAATGATGTCACCCAACTCAACTTACCAAGCTCTTTCTAAAAACATATTGTTTGGCTGATATGTCATTCGAAAGAGGACTTGGTTACCCAATAAAATTCAAGTTCTTACCCCCCCTTCTAAAAAGGATCACTCAAATTAGAAATTTTCCAATAAGGTTTTCAGATAAAAAACTCACATTTATAATAAAACCGAAAGGTTCAGGCTCGCTAATACAGTTTAAACTGACTTCTTTAAACTTGTCCCCTCCATTAATTAAAATTTCGAGTGAAATATTTTTGTATTCTTCTCGACATGGAAAAATGAGGTTAAGAGATTTGCAGATTAAATTATTCAAAATAAATTTTAATAAATTTTCATCTTTGCAAGCATTTGTTGTAGGCGTTATCGAAAATATTTGAAAATAAATTTGTCTAATATTTCCAAATAATAATTGAATCAATTTTGGGTTGAATATAAATTCATAAAAGTGTCCATATTCAAAATAACAATTAAATAATTTATTTAGATAATAATAAACAATTTTGATGTCCTCTTTACTTTTAATAATTGTTGGTAGTTTAAGTAGATAACAGTTTTGAAGGCTCGAATCTAAAAATATTTTTTAGTTTACAAAATTGGTACTATGCGTTTATATCCCCCCACATCCGCAAATCTTTGTCCGCACTTTTCTTTCTTTTCCTTTCTACTCTTATAAGGGTTAGCAATGGTCAAATATTAGTAAACACGCTTCTTTTTTTTCTCCCTTCTCCTCTCGGTATCACGACCCCGAGAACATTTTAGTTTGGCATTAAAAATAAATAAGAAATGGATGAGGGGTAACATAAAGAATACCAAGTCGGAACGACAAGTCAAGGAACAACCAACACACGGAACGACCAAATTTTGAATATTTCAAAAATCAAGACCATCCAGGTCCTTCCTTGATTTGTCTGTTCCTTGAGTTAGCCCGACACAATAAAAATTAACCTTTATATAAGAAGATGCCAATATTGGACCCTAGAAAACCTCGCTCAGGCAAATACAAAGAAATCGGTAGTCGATTACTCCACTAAAAAGATAAAAACAAATTTTAAACAGTTATCTTAATTTTAACCTTTTCTTCAAATTGTTCATCAGATAAGTCAAAATTTCCAGTTTTAGGTTTAATTAATTTATTTGTAGAACCATCGTACCGATCGAAATAATGCTTTAAAAATACATATTTAAAAATTAATTAAAAATTATTACAATATTAATTCCATAAAATTCCTCCCAAGCAAGTTCTCCTTCATATTTATTAATAAAATCACAAAAATATAAATTTGTTTGTTTAACTGAACATAATTCTTCATAATTGAGGAATTTAAAAATATCAAGCGTCGTTTCTGTTGGTAAAGAATAAAACATTTTGTTAAAATAAAGAACTAAAATTTAAGTTTAAAAAATTAATTTAAAAATCTACCGTATTTATTCTAATATAACGACATGTCGTCTTATTTTTCAACCCTCTTCTAGGATGTCGTTTTATTAGAGACTGTCGTTATATTAGAATAAATAAGGTATACAGTTTGTTAGGTACTAAACTAATTTCCTAGTACTAACAAAAGAATAAACGAGATAAGATAGTAACTAACAAACTGTGTTGTATCACGATATAAACAATAAAAATAAATAATATGTCGTTGGAGACAAAATAGAATAATAATAGGAACTTAGTGGTATTGTTGGAGACAAAATAAATACATGGACTTTAACCAGATAAAAATATGATTTAAATAAATTTAATAAAAAATAATTTAATCAAAGACGACAATAAAAAAATTATTTTAAATATTTGAGTGTCTGACATATCAATCGAAAAAATGTGTTTAAAAATAAATTGACAGACTTAACAGATCACACATTTCTTGTTCACATATTCTACACTCGCTATCCTGATTTCAAGGAAAAAAGACGAAAAACCTTCCTTTTCTTCGATGCTAACTGTGAATCTCATTTTTGGATTGTAAATATTGACAATTTGGTATTTTGTATATTTTGTATTATTCAGGTGTCTAATTTCAACCTTTTCTGCTCTTTCACTTAATTTAAGTTTTGTTGAAGTATTATAGTCTAAATTAATGACAGACACCATTTTTGACAAGTTTCTTGATTTTGCTATATACTGAAAATTTAAGTTATTTCTAGACAATTGAGGATACGCAATTGAGGATCTGACATATGAGGACGACAATTGAAAATTAAAATAATAATAATAAACAAATAATGAGCCCTTCTGAAATTCAAAAATTTTCGCTTGCTGCGCTGGAGAGATAATTCTTCTCTATTGGTCTTCCAAGTGGAAATCTCCCAAGTTATAATGGTTTTCTTATTTTTCATTTCTTTTTTTATTTTTATCCTCATTTGTCATCAGTGATGTGAAAATTCCAAAATGTGCCCGGTTCCGGTTCTGGAACCAGTTCTAAACCGGTTCCGGACTTTTACCGGTTCCACTTCCGGAACCGCACCGGTTCCGGAACCCCCGCATCACTGATTGTCATATCCTCATATGTCGTCCCCAATTGTCTGTCATATCCTCAAGTGCGTATCCTCAATTGTCGTACCTCCAATAACTTACTTCTACAATTTGATCATAAAGTATTGTTACATTCAGAAAGTGATCCACCGAACTTACTGAAGAATTATCAAACTTCAAATAAACTTCTTCAAAATTCTTTTCATTTGTTAAAATTTTAAATAAAATATTTGAATATTTTGCCAGGTCTTTAACTAAAACAAAATCAATCATAAGAATTTCACCAGATAAATTATTCGAAATAAAGTCTATTTTGTTTTCAATTTTGTAATAAATAAACAGCAGCGATGTTTGAATATAAAATTGTTTAGGAACTTTTCCAAATAACAGTTCGATCAATTTTGGGTTGAAAATAAATTCTTTGAAGTCGCCATATTCGAAAGAACATTTAAATAATTTATTTAAATAATAATAAACAATTTTGATGTCATTTTTGGTTTTGATAATGGTTGGCAGTTTTAATATGTGGCAATCGTCATTGTAGCGTACTAAAAATTCTAGGCTCTACTACATATTATGAGTCCAATCACACACAATGTCTCCTAAGCCCAGTGGTTGTGGGACCGTTCCTTACCCTATTTCTCAAAATTTCGGAAAATAATCATAACTTTTAGAAAATTCAAGGAATAGAGTAAGTGGGGCGTAAGTCCCGAACAGTAAGAAATGTTTATGAACAATACCCCAACTTTGCAATACCTAGAAAAATCCAATTATTTTTTGAATGGACTCATAAACTGCAGTAGAGACAAATTTTGTTAGGCAATCTACTGCATGTAGAAAACGTTAAATGAAAATTCTACCTTTATTTAAGCAAATAACATTATTTAAATCTCGAGGTAAAAACAAAAGAATTGGGTTTTCAAGTCCATTTTCCCACTAAAAAGAAAAAGAAATTTTAAATATTCTAATTAATTTACCTTCTCCTCGAGTTGTTTATTTTTCAAAGAAAAATCAAAATTTCCAACTTTAAGTTTAATTAATTTATGAGGAACTTGTTTGGATTGATTGAGATATTCCTTAAAATTATTTTAAAATTAAATTTATTGAAAACATTACAATAGAAATTTTATAAAATTTCTCCCGAGCAAGTTCTTCTTCAAAATTAACAATAAAATCACGAAAATGTAAATTTGTTTGCTTCATTGAACATAATTCTTGATAATTGAGGAATTTAAATATATAAAGTTTAATTTCTGTAGGCAATGAATAAAGCATTTTTTGAAGAAAATTTAATTAAGCACTAAAAATTCAATTAAAATTATCTAAAAATCTATAAAATTTGTCAAGTACT